GAGCCCTTTAAAAAATTGGACAGCTACATGCAAAAAAATGAAACAAAACAATCAACTTACACCGTACACAAAAATAAACTCAAAATGGATAAAAGACTTAAATGTGACCCGTGAATCCATAAAAATTCTAGAAGAAAATGTAGGCAACAAAATTTCGGACATCATACACAGCAGAATTTTCACTGATACATCACCTAAGGCAACAGAAACAAAGGAAAAAATGAACACATGGGACTACATCAAACTCAAAAGCTTCTGCACAGCAAAAGAAACAATCATCAAAATGGAAAGGCAACCCACTGTATGGGAGAACATCATTGCCAATGATGTATCAGATAAGGGGTTAATTTCCAATATATATAGAGTGCTCCTACAACTCAACAAAAGGAAGACAAAGAACCCAATTAAAAAATGGGCAGAGGAGCTGAATAGACACCTCTCCAAACAGGACATACAAATGGCCAAAAGACATATGAAGAAATGCTCAACATCACTAATCATCAGAGAGATGCAAATTAAAACAACAATGAGGTATCACCTCACACCTGTCAGAATGGCCGCCATCAACAAATCATCAAACAACAAGTGTTGGCGAGGGTGTGGAGAAAAGGGGACTCTAGCATACTGCTGGTGGGAATGCAGACTGGTGCAACCGCTATGGAAAACAATATGGTGTTACCTCAAAAAATTAAAAATTGAACTTCCATTTGACCCAGTGATCCCACTTCTAGGAATATACCCTAAGAAGCCTGAAACACCAATCAGGAAGAATATATGTACCCCCATGTTCATAGCAGCACTATTTACAATAGCTAAGATCTGGAAACAGCCCAAGTGTCCATCAGTAGACGAATGGATAAAAAAGCTGTGGTACATATACACAATGCAGTACTATGCAGCGGTAAGAAAGAAAGATCTCTTATCCTTTGAGACGACATGGAGGGACCTGGAAAGTATTATCCTAAGTGAAAGAAACCAAGCAGAAAAAGACAAATACCACATGATCTCACTTATATACGGAATATAATGAACATAACAGTCTGAGGAATACAGTAGACCCAGAAACATGGAAGTAGGGCACAGACTGACATCCCTCAGAAGAGGGGGTGGGGGGTTGGGGGGTGGGAAGAGATAAACCACAGAACTTATATGCATGTATGCATGACCAATGGACATGGACAACTAAGCCGGGGACGGGGCGGAGGTGGGGTGGGGTGGGGGGTGCCAATGGGGTAAAAAAGGTAAAATATCTGTAACAAAAAAATAAATAAAAAATTTATTTAAAAAAAATAAAAATGACTACCAAAAGAAGCAGTTTCTGTAAGAACTGAAGAAGGACTTTGCAAGTAAGATTCTTCACTAGGTAGGTTTTTGTGCAATTTTTTTTCTTAATCAGAAGAAACAATTGTTTTTCACCTGAACCCACAATACTTCACACCTAATAACCACCCTATAAATTAGCAGCCACTTCACTTTATACGCACTGAACTGGGTCCAGGGAACAGTCTGTGAGCAATCTGATTTTTGCAGACAGATGTGCAGAAGCTGATCCCCAGGCAGGGCAGGACCTACATGTTCCTCTGGTGCTGCACAGCTGTCCCTGGTGTGTGAGTACTACCATCTCACGGTCCTGTGGACACTGTCTCCACCAGTGAAACTCAATACAATTGAGAAGGAGCCCTCAGAAGTCCGCTTGTTGGTTTGATTTCAAGGGTATTCTTTCATTATCACTCTCTGTCTTAATGGAACCAAGAGTTCTTTCTTTCTTTTTTTAAATTTTTTTCTTTATTAATTTTAGAGAGAGAGGAAGGGAGAGGGAGACAAAATCATCTATGAGAGGCAACATTGACTGGCCACCTCCTGCATGCCCCCCACTGGGGATCAGGCCCATAACCTGGGCATGTGTCCTGGCCGGGAATCAAACAGGCAACCTCCTGGTGCATGGGTAGATGCTCAACCACTGAGCCACACTGGCCGGGAGGACTTCTTTCTTGAATGACAAAAAAAAAAAATCCAAATAGAGTTCTATAAACCTTTCTATTTTATATAAAAGTGGCTGCCACTGACAAATTCCAGGAATATGTGTAGCAGTTGGCTACAGAGATTGTGACCTCCTGGACAAGGACACCAGCATGTTTTCCATAGGAGGCAGTGGTGGGGAGTGTGAAAAATGCGCTGGTTCAGGTCTGCTCTGCACTGCACAAGCCTTTCAACTTACTGTGGTACAAATGGGGGTTGTCTAATCCAAAGTGTCATTTCTTCTGAATGTTGGTGTGAGAGGTCAAGGAGAGTTTCAAAGCCAGAAAAAGAAAGAATATGCAATACATCCAACTTCCTCATCACCCCCCACCCCCTCCAAGCACTGTGCAGACAGACTTAGCAGTTACAGTTTCCGAGGATTAAGGGCCACTTACATCCCCAGCCATCTGTATTTGGCTTTGTGAATGGAGGCTATGCAAATGTGGGCATTAGGTGGTGGGCCAGAGCCCAGGGTGGACAGCAGTGTGACTCTTAGGGAAATGGGATTTCCCCAGGACTCTCTCTTTGAAGAGGACAATAAAGAGGTGAGAGTTCTGGAGGCAGTCATCAGAAAGGCCACTTGAATAGCACCTGGGTTGTTGCAACAGAGCCGGGCTGAGGAGGAAAGCAGAGTGACAGAAATTATGTTGCCTGGAAGGATGTGGTCACCAAAACAAGAGGGTGGAAGCTCCTGATGGTACTGGAACCACACGGGGAGTCTCAGTAACTGAGGAAAGATAACACATTTAAAAGAGCCCTTTGGTTTCTAACTTAGGAATTATGATAGTTTCAAGATTTGCACATCCACAGTTCCCTAAAGCCTCTTTAGAAGTTGCTTAGACCTAAGAGGCACAGGTCACCCTAGAAAAGCTGTGCTTAAATGTCTGGACTTCAGCTAATATTGATGTTTTGGTCTAAGATGCACACTACCATCCAAGACGGGTCAAAACATCACACCACTGAGCTGATCCCTCCTGAGCAGGCAGCCCCATCCCAGTGTCTTACTCCAAGAATTAGATGTTGGGCCTTGGCCAGGGTTTGTAGAGGCCCAGAATCCTGTAGCTAAGACACCCACTTACTTGACTGCATTCATTCAGAATTCATGGCTTCTAGTAACTCCAGAGGTAAGCAGTCCTCTGACAGACTTCCATTAGGTGCCCATCGGACACACTCAGGCTTCCGTGCTGTGGAGCTCAGAAAGACCATCGTTAAACCCTCGTTTCACACCAGCTTTCCCACTGTTCCCATTGAGTTTTCTCCTTTCTTAATACTGTCTGTCTTGGGGTATTTTGCAGAGTTTTGTCACCTATTTATTTGGCATATTTTTATTCTTTATCAATAAATGACCAATCAAGACCAGGCATATAAAATATGTAGAGTGATTTGTGCATTCATTCATTTATTCATTTCATGAACACCTACAGGATGCCTATTGCAGGCAAATGCTGAGCTAGATGGCTGTGGAGAGATAAGACAACAGATCTCACTATACCCCCGCCTCTAGGAGCATCCTTCCTGCCCATCACCTTCCTGAGCTCCTCTCCTACCACTCTTCCTTTGTTTGTATCTATCGCACTCCCCTAAGTGGTCTAGACTCACTCCGGCCTCTGCTTACCATTTGTACCTGCTATTCCCTCTCTCCAGAAGCCTCTTCTCTGAAAACTCTGGGCTGCTCTCTCCCTTCCCTCAGGTGTTTAGTCACTAAGTCCCTACTGCTTTAGGTGACTTAGCCTTTCTTTGGCCTCCTCCTGTTATCCTAAGCAGTTCTCTTTTTCTAACATGTTATATATTTACCTATTTGTTGCTTGAATATAAAGGATGTTTGTCTGTTTTTGGTCGCTTTTGTTTTCCCAGTACACAGAACAGTGCTAAGCAGATAATGGGGTTGGAGTAAATATCAGTGGAATTAATAGTTAGATGAATATATGACCTGAACAACAAAATAGGTAATTAAGCATGAAATTGGGTCATGTTCTGGTCAAGTGAATAGATGACAGGTAATAACTGATATAGGTAAATCCATGCTGATCATAGCACAGATTTTGTCATTAGATTTGTCTTTTAATGCCTTCGTAGTCCCTGGGACTGGTTAGCTGCTTCCCCAATAATTAACTTTAAGACTTGGAAAACAGAAGGTGCCTATCTGCGTGTGGGCACCAGTTTTTTCTTCCTTTGTGCACATACATAACATCCATTAACAGTAATAGGAATGACAGACACATTCAGCAAGAGTGAAGCCCACATAATCGATGTGTCTTTAACCCTTAAGAAGTGAAGTTTCCTGTTCCAAGACACTTAGCATTAAAATAAAGTAAGAGTTTAAGACACCAATAAATGTTCTTGGCTATTCCAAGAGTGCATCATATTTTTAGCAATCAGTAAATGAAGGATAGCCATATTGTTCTCCATGAAAGAAAGTGTTTATTCAAACAGTTTTCAGTGAAAAGTTAGCAAATATAAACACTAAAAGAGCTGCTCTCCTAAAAGAGATTCAATTAAGCATCAGTGCAATTGTACAAATACCGTGTTGCAACACCAAGATGGCCTGTTTTTCTGGTCATTATTAATCCAGAAACCTTAATGATGAACAACATTTGTGTTATTGTCTACCCAAATTTAATTTGTTTATGCAGCAGTTCAGTTAATCCTGCAATCTGTTTTTCTCAAACGAGGGCAGATAATGGAGACACCGTTCTTTACAAGTCTTCAGGCTTTTAAATTCTGATAAAATCAGGATTCTTCATTGGGTCTTGCCCCAGCTCTGAATTAAACCACTTTAAATGTAATTATGGAACCTGGCCTTACATCAGGAACATCCATTTAAAAAATTGATTGACCAGGCTGTTCCACAAGGCATTTTATGAGCAAACGATTGCAGTGGGGCCAGGACTGTAATTTACAAAGGCAAAAAAGCAGGTAAATACTTTATTAGTGGTAATGAGAGAGTTTCCAGCTAACTGGATCTTTTCTTTCCTCACTAGCTACTTCACGGAGCCCTGGTGCATAGCCCTCTTTCACGATCGTTTTATTGATCTGAGGAAAGAGTTACGCCAAATCTTAACCTCAAAGGAGGTAAGAGTGATTAATGGATATATGGGTTATTCCTTGCAAATGATAAACAGTTTATGTTGTTGATCATTTAGACTTTTCCCTACATTCCCACTTTATGGTTTTACTTTTAAAACTAACTGTACTTCATATAAATAAACTACGGAGTATATAAACAGGGACAGTGATATTCAGGGGAAAGTGGATTATTATTTAAATCCTTTTATGAGGGGCAAATTTATTTTTCCTTTTTACAAATAATTGTATTTTCATCAATGAAAATTGGATATGAGATCTATCTATTTGCCCTCAAGAATGAAGATTGCATTCTTTTAGCTTCTGTTTCCCAGCCATTCACTAAACATTTGTGTGCATGTGTTGTTTTGAATATGTAAAGAGAAGCCACCAAATGTCCAAACACACTTCTATTATAACCAAAATTTCCTTCTCAAAGCAATGCAGAATAGTGAGGCTACACATCCCAAAGGCTCCATGTTCAGCAAGAAATTTAACTCTGCAATGTAAATAGTAAAATAGTTGTGGAACTTTAAATTATTTATTTCCACATTACAGTTGGGGAAAGTTAACATCTGTGATCAAATATGCATCATAGGCTCTCCCTTGTGTCACTCAGACACAGGCTGGAGCACAGCTGAACTTCCACCATGTTTTACTGTCTAAATGGGCAAGTCCTGCATCTCTGTTGTCATCCCAACAAGAACCCCCTCAGGTCGGCGGAAGTATTGTCATCATCTGCACTTTACCAACAAAAAAACTGCAGCTGAAAGATTTTAAGTGACCTGACATGGGTTACACAGCTAGTCAGTAGCCAGCAAGCTTCAAATTCAAAGGTCTCCCACTACAGATAGGAACGTAGGCACTGAGCCACAAGGGGCCAAGCTGAGTGGTTTGGTACCTACTCTTCAGTGCACACCCCACCTACCCCTACTTTTCAGTTTTATTCATAGGGTCCAAGCCGGGAAAATAAAATAATTTTACTAATATGAAGTAGATTCAGATAGAGAAAAATAGGTTTAAAATTTAAATCAAACCCATAGGTAGGAAGCTGGCAGGTAAACGTACATGAGAGAGGTAGAGCAGACTGTGGTTACAGGTCAAACAGTTCCCTGCACTTCATCCTGAGGTTGTGAGGAAGTCAGCTCTGGTTGAAATGTGAGTCTGAGTTGTAAGCTTGGTGCTTACTGAATTCTGTTGAATGACCCAGATACTGCCCGGCTTCTCAAAATGTAATCTGCAGCTCACCGCTGCCCCATAGTAAAATTCATTAGTTTTCTAGTTACCTTATCAAAACTCCATGTCAAAATGCTCTAAACCCCAGATCTGAGCTTCTCTGTTAACATTTTGCACAAGGCTAAGGGGTTTTAGGTGTCAAGTTTAAAAGGGAACCTCTCTCTTCACCTTTCCAAGAAAACTGTCAAACCCATCATTCACTCTTCATGGCACTAACTGAGAACTGTCAACCTTTACCAATGAACAGACATTTGCTGTGGATCAGTTTACTATAAATGAACAGGTTGGACAGCAGGCCCTTTCAGAAGTGGCCATGAACATTTGTGAAAGACACACTAATGACTCCCCATCCATTCTTGTGGGTTTTTTAAATTTCCAGAAAGCAAAAAAGAAAGGAAAAGCCTTCAGTTGGGATTGTCCTATTTTCCACATTTGCATTTGTCAAATAGAAAAGGCCACAGGAAGAGGAGGTGGCACATTCAGTGGTATCTGCCTCTAGCTCAGATTCCTGTGGAAGGAGTAAAGAAGGGGATTGTGCAAGTATATGGCTGTCAGTAAGTGCCAACCACCACAGGTAACAGTGGTGGTAACAGTTACGGTACAGACAGGCTGACAGTGGAAATGCCAGTCATGTCAACACATGCAAGAATTTCATTTAAGAGTCTGATATTAGGTAAATACAGAGTATAGCCTTCACTAAAGAATAATAGTAATTCCTTTTCTCTAATACTGAGTTGATGTAACCCATTTCATCTCAGTTCCTACCTTGTTTTCAGAGAAATTCAGAACTTCTATTCCATAAACTGTGATATCCTCGAGCTTAGCATATAGATTTTCCTCTCCCTCCACATATGGAGAAAGAAATAAAAGACTATTATCTATGAGTGTTACAAGTCTCCTCAAATCTATACGTCATTTATTTTAAAAAGAAGCTCATTATAAGACATCTCCAATATTTTTGAGAACATAAAAACAGGAAACCCACAACCACTGCCATTAGCTGTGACTATAGCCAAAGAGTCATTGACCAAAATGAAATTTTGTGGTCTGAAAATTACCATTCAAAATTCTTTAAGAAACAAAGGCTGATAGAACTAAAAAAAGAAATTGTTCTAAAATAATAGCTGGAGTTTTTTTTATTCCAAAATGGTGGCAGAGTGAATGGAAGCTACACAGACCATCTCCCAGGACCAAACTAGTATTACAACTAAAATAAAGACAAATCTTCAGAAAAAAGTAACAGAAAAGCAGCTTGTGAGGACCATATAACCAGGGACACTGAATCGATCCTGGTAGGATTATGGAGGCATGAGAGGGGGACTGGGAGCCCACGGACAGCAGCAGTTTTAGCTGTGAGCAGCAATCAGGGTTAAAATCCCAAGCCTGCTCCACAGCACAGAGGGCCGGGCAAGAGCATTAAAATAGCCAGAGTCATTCACCTTGGGCTCCAGCAGAGGGAGGGCAGTTCCACACTGGAACTGTGTGGAAACACTCGGGATATGGAGGGCGCTCAGAGCTTTTGCTGAGTTTTACCCACAAAGGATGGTAGCCATCTTACTCCTTCCCAGGGCTCTGGGGAGAGGCAGCGGCCCCTCCCTCGAAAATTCAGCCCCACCCAGGTGGGCCATTGAAATGCAAATTGAGGCTCCTTAACAACCACTGTCTGCCCCACCCTCAGGAAATCCTGTTACACTGAACCCTGAGGGAGTTTTTCATTCAACTGAGAATCCAAGGTTCTTCAAGTAGCCATGACTAATACCCACCAGGCAAAAAGCTAGAGAATAACTGAACCTTTCCTGGGATTGCAAATCTATCCAGGAAAGTAAGACTTGATAGTGATGTTTAATGTGCCTCCTCCCATGCTCATTCAAACCCAGTAGAGGGAGCCACAAACAGCAGAACACCAACACCCACAGGAAAAATTTGGCAGGCTCCAAAACCCACTGAGGTAGCCAAAATGGTGAAACAAAAAAAACAAATCCCAAATGAAAGAACAAGAGACCTCTACCAATGATGACATAAATGAAGTGCATTTAAGCAAGTTATCAGAAGTAGAATTCAGAGCCATGATCTTGAGGAAGCACAACAGCATGAGTAAGGACATCAATATCATGAGTAAACACATAAAAACATTGAAATCAACCAATTGTAAATGAAAAACCACCAAGAAAAAATGAAGAATGACATGCAGAAATAAAGAACACATTGAAAGGACTAAAGAGCAGAGTAGAGGAAACTGAGGACTGGATCAGTGAATTAGAAGACACGGTAGAAAAAAATCAACCAATCAGAAAAACAAAAGTAAAAAACAATTAAAAAACAGGAAGACAGCTTAAGAGAACTGTGGGACAACTGAAAATGTAATAATATTTGCATTATAGGAGTCCCTGAAGAAGAAGAAAATGAGCAAGGGTTAGAGAATATATTTGAAGAAATAGTGACAGAAAACTTCCCTAATTTGGTGAAGGAAGAAGGCATTCAAGTTCAAGAAGCACAGAGAGCCCCAAGCAAGAAGAATCCAAACAGGCCCACACCAAGACACATAGTTATTAAAATGCCAAGTTAACGACAAAGAGAGAATCCTAAAGGCAGCAAGAAATAAACAGGTTACCTACAAAGGAACCCCCATAAGGCTCTCAGCTGACTTCTCAACATAAACACTACAGGCCAGAAGGGAATGACCTGGAGTAATCGAGGTCATGAAAAACAAAGATCCGAATCCAAGACTACTCTATCCAGCAAGGCTATCATTCAAAACAGGTGAAATAAAGAGCTTCCCAGACACACACACAGAAAAAGGCTAAGGGGATACATTAGCACCAAACCAGCACTTCAAGAAATGTAAAAAGGACTGCTGTAATTAGTAGAAGAAATAGAAAGAAAGATATAGCCAAACTAAACAAAAATGTCAATAAATATGTACATATCAATAATCACCTTAAATGTAAATGGACTGAATGTTCCGATAAAAAGACAGAGTAGCTGTTTGCATAAGAAAGCATGACTCATATATATGTTGTTTACAAGAGACCCACCTCACAACAAAAGACTCACATAGGTTGAAAGTGAAGGGATGGAAAAAAATCTTTCCAGCAAATAAAAAGGGAAAAAGAGCTGTGGTAACAATACTCATATCTGATAAAATAGATTTCAAAATGAAGGCCATAACTAGAGACAAAGAAGGTCACTACATAATATTGAAAGGATCTATCCAACAGGAAGATATAACATTGATAAACATATATGCACCCAATATAGGAGCACCAACATATAATAAAAATCTTCTGGAGAACTTAAAGGAGAGATCTACAGTAATACAATCATAGCAGGGTACTTCAACACCCTGCTCACATCACTGGATAGATCCTCTACACAAAAAATTAACAAGGAAACAGAGACTCTAAATGAAGCACTAGACCAAATGTGTTTAATAGATATCTACGGGGAATTACACCCCAAAGCTAGAGAATTCACATTCTTCAAGTTCACATGGGATATTCTCAAAAATAGACCACATGTTAGGGCACAAACTAAGTCTCTACAAGTTCAAAAAAGATTAAAATCATATCAAGCATCTCCTCAGATCACAGTGGCATGAAACTAGAAATAAATTGCAACAAGAACATGCAACGACATTTGAACACGTGGAGGCTAAATAGCATGTTATTAAACAATGAATGAGTTACCGAGGAGATCAAGGAAGAAATTAAAAATTATTTGGAAACCAATGAAAATGAACACACAACAACACAAAATCTAAAGGATGCAGCGAAAGCAGTTTTGAGAGGGAAGTTCATAGCACTACAGGCCTACCTTAAGAAACAAGAAAAATTTCTAATAGACTATTTAACCTCACAACTTAAAAAACTAGAAAGCAAACAAAAGGAAAACCCCAGAGCAAGTAGAAGAAAGGAAATAAAGATCAGAACAGAAATAAATGACAAAAAACAATTCAAAGGATCAATGAAACAAAGAGCTGGTTTTTCAAAAAGATAAACAAGATTAATGGACTCTTAGCTAGGCTCACCAAGAAACAAAGAGAGAGAACCCAAATACACAAAATCAGAAATGAAACAGGAGAAGTAACAACTGACACCACAGAAATACAAAGGATCGTTAACAACTACTATGAACAATTATATGGCAACAAATTTGACAAGCTATGTGAAATGGACAGATTTCTAGAAACACATAGTCTCCCAAAACTGGACCGGGAAGAGATAGAAAACTTGAATAGACCAATAACAACCAAGGAAATTGAAGGTGTAATCAAGACTCTCCCAGCAAACAAAAGCCCTGCCCCGGATGGCTTCACTGGGGAGTTGTACTGAACATTGAAAGAACACACACCCATTTTCCTCAAAATATTCCCAATAATCCAAGAAGAAGGAGGATTTCTAAACTCATTTTATGAGGCCAGCATAACTCAAATTCCAAAACCAGAAAAAGACACTCCAAAGAAAGAACATGGATGTCAAAATCCTTAACAAAATATTAGCAAATTGGATCCAGGAATATATTTTTAAAATTATTCATAGTGACCAAGTAGGGTTCATCCCAGGGATGGCAAGGCTGGTACAATATTCACAAATCAATAAATGTGATACACCACATAAACAAAATGAAAGATAAAAACCATATGATCATATCAACACATGCTGAAAAAGCACTAGACAAAAACCAGCACCCATTTCTGATAAAAACACTCAGCAATGCAGAAATTGAGGGACCATATCTCAACATTATAAAGGCCATATCTGAAAAATCTACAATCAACAGCATACTCAATGGGCAAAAACTAAAAGCATTTCCCTTAAGAAGAGGAACAAGACAGGGATGCCCACTTTTGCCACTCTTATTTAACATAGTACTGGAAGTCTTGGTCACAGCAATCAGACATGAAGAAAAAATAAAAGGCATCCAAATTGGAAAGGAGGAAGTGAAACATTATTTGCAGATGACATGATATTGTACATAGAATCTATAGATTCAGTGCAATCCCCATTAAAATACCAATGACCTATTTCAAAGAACTAGAACAAATACTCCAAAAGTTTATATGGAACCCAAGAATACCCCAAATAGCCATAGAAGTCTTGATAAAGAAGAACAAAGTAGGTGGGATCACAATACCAGATATCAGGTTATACTACAAAGCCATCGTAATCAAAACAGCCTGGTACTGGCACAAGAACAGGGATATTGATCAATGGAACAGAACAGAGAACCCAGAAATTGACCCAATACATTATGCTCAATTAATATTTGACAAAGGTGGCAAGAGCATACAGTGGAGTAAAGACAGCCTCTTTAATAAATGGTGTTGGAAAAATTGGACAGCTACATGCAAAAAAAAAAAATGAAACTAGACCACCAACTTACACCGTACACAAGAATAAACTCAAAATGGATAAAAGACTTAAATGTGACTCATGAATTCATAAAAACCCTACAAGAAAATGCAGGCAACACATTTCAGACATCACATGCAGCAGAATTTCACTGATACAATACCTAAGGCAAGAGAAACAAATGAAAAAAAATTAATACATGAGACTACATCAAACTAAAAAGCTTCTTCACAGCCAAAAAAAAACAAGCAGCGAAATAGAAAAGGAACCCACTATATGGGAGAGCATAATGATACGTCAGATAAGGGGTTAATTTTCAAAATATATAGAGTACTCATACAACTCAACAAAAGGAAGAGAAGTAATCCAACTAAAAATAGGGCAGAGGACCTAGAGAGACACCTCTCCAAGCAGGACATACAAATGGCCAAGAGACATATGAAAAATTTCTCAAGGTCACTAACCATCAGAGAGATGCAAATTAAAATGACTATGAGGTATCATCTCACATCTGCCAGAATGGCTGCCATCAACAAATCATCAAACAAGTGCTGATGAGGGTGTGAAAATAAGGGGACTCTAGTACACTGCTGGTGGGAATGCAGACTGGCGCAGCCACTATGGAAAACAATATTATGTTTCCTAAGAAAACTAAAAATTGAACTGCCATTTGACCTAGTCGTCCTACTTCTAGGAATATACCCTAAGTAGCCTGTAACACCAATCAGGAAGACTGTATGTACCCCTATGTTCATAGTAGCACTATTTACAATTGCTAAGATCTGGAAATAGATGAGTGGATAAAAAAAATCTGTGGTACATATACACAATGGAACACTATGGAGCTGTAAGAAAGAAAGATCTCTTATCCTTTGAAATGAAATGGAGGGATCTGGGGAGTTTATTGCTAAGCGAAATAAGCCAGTCAGAGAAAGGCAAGTATCATATGGTCTCACTTATTTGTGGAATATAATGAACAAAATAAGCTGATGAACAAAATAGACCCAGAAACATAGAAGTAGGGTATAGACTGACAAACCTCAGAAGAGGGTGGTGGAGGGAAGGGAATAGATAAGCCAAAGAACTTATATGCATGTATGGGTAACCAACAGAGATAGACAACAATGCCAGGATCGGGAGGAGAGTGTCAATGAGGGGAAAAGGAGAAGCACCTGTAACAAAAAATAATTAATAAAATAAAAAAGAAAGAAAAAGTTTATGAAACTAAATGTTATAAAAGAAGTTTGAATAAATGGAGAGACAGCCTATATACAAAAAAAAAAAGAACCAGAAAGAAAGAAATGGAAAGACATTTGTATTCATAGGACTTGAAATATTGTTAAAATGGCAGTACTATTCAAAACAATCTACCACTTCAATGCAATCCTATCAAAATCTTAATGGTATTTTTTTGTAGACGAAAAAGTCAATCCTAAAGTTCATGTGGAAATGCAAGGGACTCCAAGTAGCTGAAACCATTTTGGGTATTTAAAAAAAATCAAAGGACACACTATAAAATTTCAAAACTTACTGTAAATCCACAGTAACCAAGACCGTATGGTGTTTACATAAAGATATACAGATCAATGAAATAAAATTGACAGTCCAAAAGTAAACTCATTTACATGAAAAGATGCTAACATCATTAATCATTAGGAAAATGCAAAATAGAACCACCATAAAATAATATTACACCCACTAGGCTGATTCTATAAAAAATAATAATAACAAGTATTAGCAAGAATGGAGAAAAACTGGTACCCTCACACATTGCTGTTGGGAATGTAAAATTGTGCACTTGCTATGGAAAATGGTTTGCTGGTTCCTCAAATCTTACACACGGAATTACTATATGACCTAGTCATTGCACTCCTAGATATATACATCCAACGATGTATAAGTATTCAAATGAATACTCATACATGAATGTTCATAGCAGCACTATTCAGAAGAAACGGCCCAAATGTCATCAGTGGATCAACAGATAGACAATATGGCATATCCACACGGTGTAATATTATTCTGCCATAAAAAGAAATGAAGTCCTGATATATTCTACAAAGTGGATGAACATTAAAACATGTTAAATGAAAAACCCAGACACAAAGGATCATGTATTTTATGTGGCATTGTGAATTATGTTGGTCATAGATAAACACTTTGAGAGGGGAGATGGTCACACAGAGAGGGGAAATGGTTTTCTTTGATACAATTCTCCTGAAAACTTAAAGGAGAAGGGACAAACCCCATATATGTTGCAGAACATAAACTTAGAGACTGCTGGTAGCAATCAAATGATTCAGCACCTCTAATTTTTAAAAGCTAGGAAAAAAGGGCCATCGTTGGGGAACTGAGCACTATGTTTTTCAGTTTAGTGAAACTGCCCTCTTATGTGGGGTTAAGTGCAATTAATTTCTTTCTATATCTGGCCTCTTACTGTGTTTTCCAGGAGAAAGAACTTCCTTCCATAGAACAGTTAGCCCGTCAGATAGAAGATGAGGAAATTAACCTGAACGAGAAACCCAGGAAATACCTCAAAAGAATTTTCCAGGAAACCATCTACAAGCCGCTGGTGGAGAAAAGCATCCTTGACTATCTGCACTATAATCACTACCACCTGCCCATGTACGCGTGGCCAGGCATCATTTAGTTGCGGTCACGGTCTCCACTTTACTGTTTTCACACATGTAGTTCCTGGAAGCGCTGTGCATAAGTAGGAAACCTCTCTGAAGTCTGGCTTGACAGCCAAGCACCATTGTCTGCTGGTTTTGTAGTTTCTTTTCCGCATCCACTTATGAGTGTCATTTTCTTTAGTCCCAGTAGGTGGCGCAGGGCCGTGGGCCTCTCTTCTGGGTCAGGGAGACGCTTTACTAATACCAGACATGTTCCTGTGCAGAATAATCCATTTAGCAATAAAATATGATTGGACTGTGTAAAACTTGTTTTTACCTTGGGTGTGACTGTTTCATTTCCTAAGTTCTGCCACCAATTTTGTTAGTTATTCACATGTTTACCCAGTAATAATCCTGGGCAATAAAAAAGAAAATCGTGATCCCACACAGAAAATAGTAAAACTGATGATGAGAAATTAACTCTGAAATTCAACATCGAGGAACTGATTGTGTAGGAGAGTTTAAGTCAACTTTTGAAATGAGGAGACTGTGATCCAAGTCCCCGTGCTTCTATTTCATGTTGCAGGTTGTGAGCATAAACTCAGTGTTAACACACAGGCTCAGACAAAGATTTTACTTTTATTTTTTCCAAATTTTACACACCAGAAAACATTAGTGGGAAACTAACCTAGTTGGTTTCCTTTAACCCTGAGCCCTGTTGCTTTGCATCAGGGGTCTGGTACATGTCACCTATAATATGGGTCAGAGACACTCTTATAAATAAAGCAAATTAAGTGCCTATTAGAAAACATATGGACTCAGAAACACATAAGATTGTTTTCATTTACTTGGATCTTTTTTAGTTGATACTATCTGTGACTAAATTTTAACTCGCAGGGGTTTAAAATTAGTTTTCATAGACATAATTTCAGTTTTTGTTCACTTTTTGCATTCATGTTAATGTTTAGCAAAAGTTGATACAATTACGAGGAAAACACAGCTATTAGGAAGAAAAGTCATAGTTGGCATTACAGATTTCTATATCAATTATCATCAAATCAATACTTCTCAAAAATAAAATTGTTCTAGCACACTAGGCTTTGATTTTTCTAAGGCAGACAAAAGTAAGCAATAAACTCCACTAAGTCCCTCACACGTCTGTTTTACCCAGCTTTGGCCATATGGTACAAACTGTGTAACTTGAATAGAGAACAATCGCGCTACTGGCTTACTCCTCAAACTGCAAACCCAACACCCATGGAACCCTATTTCAGGGACCTGGGAATGAATCAGCTCAAGAAACTATCCCCCCACCCCCACCCCAGCCCCTTCCCCTGAGAGGCCCTGGGTCAAATTCATCAGCAAATGGAATGAGTGTCTGTGACTGGGCTGGGATCTTTGGGTGGATATTAACAGAACAACCTCAGAGGACCAAGTATTACCATTAAAAAGCTTCTAGTCACATTAAAGGGACCCCAAATGACAATGACAATCCTAATATTGAATCATACATAAATTTAATGTTTTCCTTTGCTGCCTTTTAAAAAGCAATCTTGGACTTCCATAGGCGTCATGATAGATTTGAAAATGTCTAGATTACATTTTAGTCTGCAGAGTGTATCAGATGAGGTTATTGTAACCATCATCTCATAGTTGGAAAGTGAGTAATTTTGTGAATCTAGGCATGGATTTTAGCATATATGTGAAGATGAGCATTTTATCACTGAGGAACAACTTTTTTAAGAATAAGAGAAGTATCCAAGAGTAGTTGATGATAGGCTGAAATTGCCTGTTTTAAGGGCTTCGGGAGAATTTACTCCTTACTGATGATGAAGACTTACAAAAGAAAGTGCTTCAAAAAGACCAATAGTTAGACTTCTCTAGGCATCTCTAGGCATGCATTGACATAGAATCTGTGGAGACAGACTGCATTCGTGAAGTCCCTGCTGTTGAGCTGGGGACATCTTGGGCTCTAAGCCTCATTTTGGAATTCTATAGTTTTGAACAAAAAATACTGATGAGAAAATACCAAAGTTAAGTTTCCCAAGTTTTCCCCAAACCGCTTGCAACAACCATGCCTCCCAGAGGCCTCTAATGACCTCCTTGTATATGTTGGTTGGCAATAGAGTGTAGTCACCTCCTTTCCCAACATGGCTCTTCATATTTCACCCAAATATCACAGGAAGGCAAAAGAAAACTGTAAGACTAGGTGAGAGAGGAAAGGGAATACTGCATGGAGAATAAATGTAAAGCCAGCCAATCAATTTACCCTTAAAGGGGGGTAGGGAGAGAGAGAGAGAGAGAGAGAGAGAGAGCACATGCGCAGCGCACTGGGTGAGCGAGGGGCTCGAGAGTCGTTCTGTGTGAGCTGTTGATTGTTTTCTGGTTGAGAGAAGAGGTGATGATAAGGCTGGGATAAAGTGAGCCCAGGAACGGGGCAGGAGCAGGCAGCTGTATGCTAATACTCACAGAAACCAAGCCTCTTCCTCTTCCATTAAAGCTGGCGGCCAGGAGGCCACACATCACTGAACAAATAGGCTCTCTCTAGACAAATAAAATAACACACGTTGGCCTGCGGGAAGGAGGGAGAATTGGGAGAGAGACAGAGTGAGGGGGGGGGGGGATGAGGGAGGAGAAAGAGAGAAGGGAAGAGTGGAAATGAAGAGAGGGTGACCGGGAGAGAGGTGAGGGCGGAAGGGGGGAGGGTAATGGGAAGAGAGGGGAGAAAAGAGACAGAAGGGGTGGAGGAGAGCCAGGAAGAGACTGGGATAAGGAGAGAGAAGAACAGTCTGAGAGAGAGCGAGTCAGAGTGTGGGAGATACTGGGAGGAGTGAAAGGGTTGGGAAAAAAGAACGACGAGACTAGAAGAGGCAGAGGGGTGTGAGGGAGAAGGAATAAGGGAGGACTGAGGAGGGGAATGGTGGGTAGGGAAGGAGGACAGAGATGGGAGAAAAAGAGGGAGAGGAGGACATGAGGAGAGAGCTAGGAAGCGGGGTAAGAACACAAAAACCCCAAACCAAGAGCAGGAACAAGAAAAGGGGACCCAGGCCAAGGCAAGAAGAGAGCGCTTCTGGCCCCCCCAGGCGCCTGGCTACCTCCGTGGCCACCCCGCAGAGGGAGAGGAGAGTGTAGGACCGAGTGGAGTCGCAGTGGCCTTTCTGGTCAGTTTCTGTTAGGTTTTGTCGGTTCTTTTCTGAGACAGAGGCGCGGGGAAAATGGGGCCGTCACCTCACAGACGGAAGCGTTCCCCTTTTGCGCCCACGTTCCAAGTCATCCGTTCCTTTCAGTGCCACTCCGGCTCTTCCTGGCACACTTCTCTGGTTAGGACTTTCTCACATTTCCCAGCTTGCCATTGCTAGCTTTGCCGACACCACCCTTCCTTCCAGTCGCTGGGCCCGGGGATCTTCCTGCCTCCTTCCCACAACCTGGCCCGGACAGTCCCACCCAAAACAAAAACAAACAGTCCCGAGGGCACTTTAAGGAGCATTCGGTGGCCCCGACGGCACTCTCGTGAGGATAAAAGAGGCAGCAGCCACCCCTTCCACCTCCGCCGAATAATGCGCGCGCAGCAGATTGCCAGAGGCACTTGAAACTCGAGGAGAGGGACGTACTTGAGCGCCGCTGCTTCCCGCGCCCGGCGGACCGCGGGGCTTCGCGGACTCTCCCTTGTTCGCTTTCTTTCATGCACTCTCCTTTTGTGTGGAATTATTTAAACGGGAGATCCTTGGCAGCTTTATGCTAATGTGCCGAACAAAGGCGACGGCCCGCGGGCGGGGGCCCGGAAGGTGCCTGCAGGCCGGAGTGGCCAAGCAGGGCAGCGGCGGCTGGCTGCGCGTGTCTCTCGCGTGCCCTTGGGACCGACAAAACAACTCCTCATTCCTGCAACCACAAAGCCTCTCCCGGGCTCGGGTTGGCGCTCAGCGCCCTCCGGGGCACGGGCGCCTCAGGGACTTGATGGCAGGTATAAAGCGGTAACGCACTTCAGGTTGGACTGTGGCTCGTGGGCAAGGAGGGCCCGGGGTGTTACTTCGGTAGATCCAGGAGGCGTTCAGCCCAGAAGGAGGATTGGGGTGGGGTGGGGTGGGGGCAGGGAAGGAAGAATCTGACAAATCCCTCTCGCCCTTCCCTGGCGTCTCCAAACACGACCCGCGCCGCTAACTGGGATTATGGACCATCTCGTCTTCGCCTCTCAGGAGCCCAGGGGCTGCTGGACTCGTGGACACCTCAACGGGCAATTCCTAGGCCGAAAGTCCCCGCTTTGGCGCTCATTTCCATGCTTCACGGTATCTAGAAACTCGCTGGAGCCAGGCTCGAGCTGGAAGGTCACAGTAAACCCAGCGCGCACCCCGACAGCAACCTGGGACATCAAGGCAGGAAAATTTAGAGCGCCAGCAGCCTCCAACTCTGCAGTCGTCCAAGGAAGAAGTCGCTAGCGGGTCTTCAAGGATATGAAGCGATAGAGGCCACCGTATTTTTTCAAAGCGCTGGCCAGGACCCCACAGGAAAGGGAGGAATCGCCTGGGTACTGGGAAGAAACACTTCGGGGGCCCTTCCTAGGATCCTTACGCTTGTCGGCTTCCGTGAGGCTCTCGTGGAGTGGGGAGCAAATCAGCGCTCAAAATTTCCCCAGCATAACTCCTCCTGGCTGGTAATATGAACGCAGTGCGCAAAGGCCCGCTGCTGCCGCGCAGCGTGATAATGCCTCGCTCTTTCTCGACTCCACGTCCCCATCCTCGCAGGCGCGCAGGTTCTGAGAAATAGAGTCAAGAAGAAAACAACAAAAACCCACGACTGGGTGCAAGAGTGCATGTTCTCAGAGGTTGCTGGTGGGGTGTGCATATACAAGTACAGCCTGATTCTTCCCCAGCTTTAGGGTTGTGAAATTAGTTTCTAATACATGTACCTTTCGCGTGCCCATTTATTTTGACCGTACCCATCCTTTTCGCTGGCAAAACTAGCAACGACAAATAAAAAGAAACGGATCCACTGAATCTCAGTATTTCAATAGTGTTCAAAAGATTGTCTTGGCGTAATTCAT